TCTGTCACAATCCGGGATCAGTCTTTTTCATGTAGCAAACTTACATTTTTTCCTTTAGTACCGTCGACATAGAAGCAAGATTTGTTGATTGTGATGAAATTTTTATAGTAACAATTAGCTAATTGCCGATAAAGTTGACGTACACGTTGACGACTTTTTTTGGCGTTCGATGGTGTTAATTTATTAACTTTTAGTTTTCTTCGAAGAATAAAGTTGGCAAACTTTATAATTTTTGAGATTGCAGATTGCCTGATATGACAAAATTTGACAAAAGAACGTTGAGTACGAGGATTGTTGATGTCAATTGTTTGAGTTTGTTTAAAAACAGTTGATGACGCAGTCACTGGTCGTTTTTGAAGAAATTCAATTTTTTTCAAACCGAATTGCGTTGACGGCCAATCTTTCATTTAACACTAGATACGGTTTTTGAGATACACTGATCCCATCATTTTTCAAAATTTTATCTATGTGTGACTGGAAGTATTTCTGCTGCAACAGATCTAAAATATATTCCTCAACAACATCAGTGATTTTTTCCGACGCATTAATTTGAACAGACAATGAACGTACAGAGAGATAGAGAACGATCACCCCGAACGACACAATATGATCATGCAATTTTTCCTCCTTTTCTGTAAAGCACATGTCACATTCTAAAACTAATTAGTGAAAATAGGTGAATTATGCTGTACAATTCATAAAAACATTATTACAAAGTAAACTGAAAAATCAATCCATTTCTAAACCAGCATTTCGTACTATTTTAGTCTGAAAATGTATTTTAATAAGAACCATATAAGTAGATATTGTCTTCAATATGATTATTGTCTGGTATGATGAAATAAGACTTTCTATATTACGTTGATGTTTACTAAAAATGATTTTTCGATGAAAAAACCCAAAACTAATAAGACTGATTATCTTCAAATTGTCTTGATCAACGCGTCTAATAATGTTAGAAAAATAGATGATTCTCAGGATTGTTTTAGATGAATAAAAGAATATCAATGAGTGTTAGCTATTACTACATAAAACACGTGTACGAAGTAAAACGTATTTATTCCGACGGTGTGCGACATCGTATTCTAGTGTGCGTCGGCATCAAAAGAAAGGTTAATAACAAAAACTGAATTGGTCTATCGCAGAAATATAAATGAAGCGTAAAATAATACCTCGAACACTTTACATTTGAAAACCTAGTTGTTTTTCATTGCGCTAGCTTTATATTAAGATTATCATTTTCTATTAACAATGGCAGATGAATTAGCTAATCGTCTTACAAATGAAGTGAAAGATCGTCTACCTGACATTGCTAATAAAAGTGTTCTAGCTATTGTCAATGGAGTAGAACAGTAATTGTATTATATCTATATATTTGTATTCGATATTTCCTTTTGTTTAGTCCAACATTTTATACAAAACTATTATCAAATACTGAACAATTGATTTTATTCACAGAATCATCTGATATTTATAAGCAATTAGATGAACAATTAGAGAATTTTCAAAAAAGGCCAATTTTAAATTGTGCTAAATTTAATAATGCTGAATTACAAAATAATTTGTAAGATTATTTGATATAAGAATAAATTTAAAATAAAATTGTTCTTCATAGATTTGATGTTATTCTTCTTATTAAATCATTCAATCAATTAAGTGTTGATGAAAAACAAAAAATGTTAAACAATCTGTTAAAAACACTCAAAGATAATGGTCAAGTTTTTGTTTATGAAACTGAATGGTCAAAAGATCAAGGTACGAATAAAAAAAAAACATTCTTTTTTTATTAAAATTTTGTTGTTTCATTTTTTTTTTTAAGAAAATCATTTAAGTAACCCAGTTGATCTTATTCATTATTTTAATTCTGCTTTAATAACTGAGAACGAAAAATATGGTTTTGAATTTGTTTCTGCACGACCATTGCGTAGCTATGTTGAAGTAAATATAAATCAATATATTAGTTTTATTTTAATGAAATTGAAATACTTTCTAGATCAAACAAAAATCATTTAATATATGTTATATCTTCAAGAAAACTAGTAAACAAGACAGTCATTCAACATTGCAAGATTTTCTTGATCAACAACAATATTCTACACGTGGTGTTTTAAGTTATGAAAGAATTTTTGGATCTGGTTTTGTATCAACTGGTGGTCTAGATACAACAAAGGTTTGTCTATTGCTGAATAAAATAAGAATAATAATTATCTAGTAGAATAGATATTAAAAAAAACATGCCTAGAATATGATCATAATTTATAGCAGAATAAGATTGTTGATAATCTCTTTCCTAAACTCTGTCATTATTTGTTTCATGATCAAATGATGATGGATTATATCGATATAATCGGAAGAAAATCTACCATTGCTATTTTCATAGGAACGAAATAAATAATCAATGAGATCAATATATGAAAAATTTAATATTTATTCTTCAGTTAGAAAAACATTGATATTGTTTTAGGAATTTGTTGAATCACTTAATCTTAAAAGTGATCAAATTGTTTTGGATGTTGGTTGTGGTATTGGTGGAGGTGATATTTACATCGCTAAGGTACAAGTTTATAAACTGATTAATAACTTATTGTTTTGTTTTTTGAAAAGACATATGGGTGTTCAGTAATTGGTGTTGATTTATCTACTAATATGGTTAGTATTGCCTATGAACGATTAATGGCCATGTCAGCTAGTAAACTCAAGGTAAAATTCGTTATTTGTGTTTATTATTAAAATATTTAACATATTTAAATTCAGGTATCATTTGAAATTGGTGATATACTACATCATGAATTTAAAGCAAATTCATTTGATGCTGTCTATAGTCGTGATACAATTTTACATATTGCTGATAAGATGAGTCTATTTTCTCGTTTTTATGTAAGATTAATTTTACAGAAAAAATTTTTCATTCTTCTTGTTTCATTGAATAGGGTTGGCTTAAACCTGGTGGTCAATTATTTATCTCTGATTATACATGTGCACCGAAAAATGAATGGTCCAAAGAATTTGAAGAATATGTCAATCAAAGACGATATACACTTTTAACTGTATCAGAATATGGCAAAGTAAAAATGAATTTAAAAAATATATATAATCGATTTATTTTTATTCTATTGAATTAGCTCTTGGAAAGTGTTGGTTTTAAAAATGTTGATGCTCAAGATGCAACAGATAAATTTGTTGAATGTCTTAAAATGGAACTAGCACGAATTGAATCAATTAAAGATGATTTTGTTCGAGTACGTCAATAATAGTGTTTTTTTTTTGTTTTGTTCGCCAATTGAAATATGTGATTTATTTTCTAAAGGAATTTTCAAGCGATGATTATGATCATTTAATTGAAGGTTGGCACAGAAAACTTGAACGATGTGCTAAAGGTGATCAACGATGGGGTGTTTTTCGAGCAAGAAAATAAAATAAAAGTGTGAACGAGCAATCAGCAAATTGTGGTGATACCAGCATAGGGGATTTTTGTAGGAAAAAAACTTATTATTTTATAAAATTAATTGCTCGTATATATAAAATAAAATGAAATAAACAGATTAACATGCATATTTGTTGACTATCAAACAATCAATATATCAAATTTTTCGGTGCAATATGAATAGATTAAGTTCGAGGGGCATGAGAATATAATTTTTTTTCTCTTCGATTTGCATTCTTTATCGCTTTTTTTTTCAAACATTTTCGTAACAGAAAAATATGACATATTGGTATTATCTTCTTCTCTGTAATTGCATNCCAATCCGTCCGCCATTAGTTCACATGTCCTGAGTTATGATTCACACATAATCTTTCTCTAATGATTACCTCATCTTAACTATATTGGAACACATATTTTCGTTCAATTCCTTATTCGGACGGCCATCATCATAGCTATCTAGAATTCAAATCTCATTAGAAATCATCTTAAAGTAATTGAGATGTTATCTTCTAATTAAGAATATCTGTTGAAGAGCAAATGCTAGTTTCTAGTAAGATGGCTTTTTCCTCAGATAACTTTGATCAATTTTTTGGAAAATTCTCGCAGAAAATTTCTATGAAACGACAACTCTCTTCTGAAATTTTTCGAACTGCAAAACGAAATGAAATTGAGTTAGCACTGCGACGTGCGTTCACTATCTTAGGGTGTGCTTATTATTTAGATCTTGACTCTGTGTCACGACATTTGGTAATACTCCTGTAGATATTCGGGACTGTCTTTAAGTTTAACGTTAGAAAACAGAAGTAGAATAGCTTGTGGAAAATACAAAATGAGAAACAAAAACTTTTTTCGGTACATATTTTCGCTGAACATGTTTTTCATAAGGTAAACAATATGTGTAAATCATAACTCCAGTACATGTGAACCGATGGAGGATGGGCTAGTGCTTACAGTCAGAATTTATTGTTGTACGCATGCATTCAAAGTATCAGCTCAATATCATAAAGAATAGTTGCAATTCAAGGGGTGACTACTTTTGTCCAGGACTATATTTGAAATCAAAAGCTGTTTATCATCTAAGAACGTTCTTTCTTATGTATTTATTTTGTTTTATTTGACGAACATTTAGTATTAAGCAATAATTTATCCACAATTAAATTTATATTTTATGGTCAATCAGATCAAGCATCAATTGGAATTTGGGATTCAAATCAATCATCATGGCAAATAGACTTCTCTATTTGTAAAATAAATGAACAAGTATCTATATACAATTAATTGATTGCCTTTAGTTTAAAATATAGAAAAATCATTTTTATTTTGAGGATTCTAATTTAATATCAACAAATTGTACTTTATCTAATAATGATTCATTATCATTAACTTATCTTAATCATAAAAAAATTTTGTTCTATATTAATTATTCACAATATCCTATTTATATTTCGTCATCAATTGCATCAATTTGTTTCTTTATTTCTATTCTTGTTTATATTTGTTTTTATAAGTAAATAGAAATAATTTTCTTTTGTGTAAAAAAACATTCAAGTTAATTTTTTTCATTAGAGTTTATCAAATGTCAAGATGTGTTTTTCATTGTTTAATTAATTATTGGTTTAGTCTCAGTATTTTATTACCACTATTTGCGTTTGGTATACGACACAATCACTGTCAGTTTTTATGTCAATTTATTTCTATTAGTCTTCATTATCTTTGTTTAACAACAATGCTTTGGTTAACATTATTAACTTAGTAAGAGAAATTTTATTGTTAATTAATATCATAAAAAAAATTTCTCTTTAGTTCTATCTGGAGAAAACTGTCCGCTATATCAACAAATCAAGATTGTCATGGAAAATTTTCAATAATGATTAATGATGATTTACTAACAATGGAATTAAAATCTAAATCTGTTATTCAATTCTATTTCTTAGTCCATGGATTAGCATTAATTATTTGTTGTATTAATGTTGCTATATTACATGAGCAATATATGATAAACAAAATGTAAGTAATAGTGTGAATATTTCAATGGAAGTAAACTGAACATAGCGAAATGTGAAATCAAATGAATATGCAAGAGGGCTAGTGTTTTTTCTGATTTAGATCCTTATAGGACTGTTTCACAAATGCAAAACTCGTTCCTGATGCTAAAAATCTTTCAAATTGAAATTAATCACAGATTTTTCTGATCCATACATTTTCTCTTATAGGTTTCAGTTGCTTTTAAAAAAGAAAATTTATATTTGATGTTTTACAGTTGAACACATGGCTGCTCGGAGACTGCTATGATATTTTGCTAGATGCAGATTTACTTTGTAAGTGCTCGTGAGATAACTGATTCCGTTTTACTCCTGATAAAAGTATGTTTGTCAGAAAGAGCAAACAAAAGAGGCGTATACCATATAAGTTTTGAAGTAGATGGGAAGCTGCTTCATGGAGCAAACATGACTTCAGAAAGAATTTTGAGGTCAAGAACTATTTATTTCTTATCAAAAACTTATAGGAATTCAGACCAAAAAGATCCTCATATTTTTCTTATTATTCGATCAAGCTTCAATAAAAATATGATTTTCGTGATTAACGGGACAAGTTTTATGAGATAAGAAATAAAAAATTTTTAAATTCAAGATGAAAATTTGTCTTTAGATGTCTAAGAAGAACTTTAGGCTCAAAATACTATGAAGTCCAATTTTGAAGTTTAGACCAAACAAAAAATCTCAGAAGAGTGTCCCCAAAAATACACAGATTCCACTTGATTACAACCATTATTCCTTCTTGACTCAGGATTGAAACCGGTTGAGAAATAGTAAACCGATCCGGTCTGATCGGAAACCGGCTGGTTGAAATTACATGTCCAACCGGTGAATTCCGGTGAAAACCGGTTAAAAACCGGCGGAAAACGTGGAATTTTTTTGAAAAACGATTTTTAGAGAAAATGGCTTCAAATATGAAATACTTTAGGGGTGCATGTGAAAGACACTCATCATAATGAATCTTTTTAAAGAGAATCTAAAAAAATAATTAAAATAACATATGTTTTGAGCACTTTTTAAAGCATTCTCACAGAAAAACCATGTGACATCTTAGTTTTTATGACCAAAAACAGGGTCAGCAAAGAAGATTTTTCCAAACTTTCAACCGATAAAATTCTGGTACCTATCGGCCCGGTTGACTTTCTGAACTGGTTCGACCGGACCGGTTCCAACCCTGCCTTTACTGTAATTTGTTAACTAAGAATTTCATATAAAGTTGTTTCGTTATGTTCTCTAATGATTAGAAAACCCGATTTGTAAAGATTTTTGTTTTCATATAGATGCTTTTTCAATGACTTTTATTCAATTCTAATATTAATCATATCAATGTTCATATGTATTATTCTTTTACTTTTTTTTCTGTTATCTACTCGTAATCATATAAAACGTTTAATAAACGAAACAAAGCACTTAGATAATTTATCGGATGTATTTGGAATAAAGCCAGAAAATATATTATTATCAAAGACACATGAAATCTTACCAATTTTAATTCCATTTAATCAAAATAATCAACAAGTTCTATCAAATATAAATTATCAACATGAATCAATAAATCAATTATTATCAATATTATTTCAATTAATTCTTCTTATATTTCTCTTTCTATCAAGTTTAACTATTTATCTACATCCACTACAGTTTTTTAAATTGCGTTTTGAACATTTTATTTATGGTCATTTATATGGATTTTTTGTTTTAGTTCTTTCATTCTATATATTTTCATTTTATGTTTTATTACGTTCTGATTTAATAAGACATTATTATTTTAACAGAAAAAAAGTTGATCACTTATTTGATCAATCGTACATTGAACCGGCATTATCATCAATAAATTCAAGAATAAAGTATGAATTTGGTTTTCCTTCATTTACAAAACAAAATAATATATTTCCATCATCGTATTTCTATGATTTATCAAATAGGCATGCTCCTGAACTGCTGCAAAATACTGAAAGAACAACATTAAACGATGGTAATATGAATAATTCAAAAATTCACACAAATATTACATCAAATTATTGCGTTTACCATCGTAATATACTTAAACCTAATGAAATAAGTTCATCACAAAATACTGACCATGATACATTGGCATCATCATCAGATATAATTGCGCACAAGTAAGTGCTAACATTTTTTTGCTGATGAAAAGAAAATTGACCCATAATCTTTTTCCATTGCCAGTGAAAAGAAAACTTCAGACGATTTCATTTAAAATATTTGATAAATATAGTTTGACACGTAAAAGAGACGCTGAACAAACTTTGAAATTTAGAGACATTAAGATTAATTTAGAAACAAGACTTTTAGCTATCGCTGAAACTAATACAAATTGAAAACAATTTACCGATTTCAACAAAAGTTTTAAGCTTTGTTTAAAATATAGATTCGTAAATCGGCTTATAAAATAACATTGATTTAGAGTTCTAGTCCAGGATTAGAGGAATCTAGCTATCTGAGATTTTCTCAAGTTGTTATACTTATCTAAGTACTTAGTCATCTATCTCGCGATGGATACAAAGTGTGTCTGCATAGTTGGAACATCATTTTCAAACCACAGCCTATGTTAATATATATTCGAAAGGCTATTCTTACTGTTTTTGTGTCCACTATCAAGTAAAACACTTGAAAATCTTTTCAAGAAGTCTAAATTTAGCAAAAACCAATAATTATTTTAACATTTGAGAAAAAGAAAGTTTTCAAATCCTTTTTATTTCAGAATTATTGATCCACACCAATTCCAGCATAATTCGTCCAAGGAACAAATATTAAAAAGATCAATTAATAGTTTAATAGAATTTCATGCAGAACAAATTGAAAATACTCATGTAAAAATTTATTATGACCAAAAGAATTACAATATTTTCTTTTTCTCCTAATCTAGCTGCATTCATCTTCTACGATGTTATCTCGACCACGAACATCTCCTATTGAAGCAATTGTTCGTCTATTACCCATTATTCCTTTTTCTTCACGAAATATAAATAAAAAATCTGTAACTTCTACAAATATTATTCAATTAAATGATGATATTAATCCATCAATTGAACCAAAACATATTAACAAGAATGCTCAGAATTCGTATTCTATAAAGCCATCATCATACACTGAAAAATATAATGCTACATGCGCTTCTTTCAATGAAAATGATCATTTAGTTCAGCAAAAATCGTCATTACATGAAAAATTATCTACGTGGAAAAAATCTTTTTATGGTCATGCACAACTTCTATATATTGATGTAGACGACGAACATAGTGTTTCACTTAAATCATCCTTTTATGATTCAAAAACATCGTCAAGTACACTGTCAAACAAAAAAGATTATACACGAACATTGTCATTTGCATCAAATTTTTCAGATGATTCCTATTATGACATTATTCATGCAAATCAAATCAAATTGCATGAAAGCAGTGTATAAATAAGCGTTTGTTTTTTCTTTTATATTACGTAGTATTATAAACGATTGTAGTCTATGTTTTCTAACAATCTGTTTTCGTTTAGATGACACATTTGTTTTGTAATATTATCTTCATGTCATATATGTTTTTTTATGAAAACAAAAGTTTGCCGCTATGATAATGAAATAGTGTGATCCATTATAGGCTTTATTATCTTTTTTTAAATCGTTTCTCATGATTCTTTTATGTGCTAAGAAAAAGGAAGGTGATTTAAAATTCTTTGTATTTATCTAGAAATATTTCAAACAATATAAATCGATTTTTTTCTCATTTAGTTTTTCAATACAGATCGATACTAAGATTTCTGAAGATATAACATTGAAGTGGTAGTTGTTTCTTGTTCGATTTATAACGAAATGCTGTCAGAAAATATCGTGTTGGAAGACTGAAATTTTTGGATTAACTTCACCTGTGAAAAGTTCTAATTACGTCTTTCAGATGTCTTAATATTATGAAAAAAAAAAGAGAATTGAACCTCTGAAAAACTCTGATTATTAAATAATAAGGAGAATTGAATGATTTTATTGGAGTAGCTACTGTAAAACGAAAAACATGTTATATGAGATTAAAATTTAATTTCAATCACAATCTGAATGAAAATAATGCGATAAGTAAGGCGTCGGTATGTCGATGTCGTTGTGAGTAGGACGTGAAGGGAAATCATTCGCAAGCAGACCCATATCACACATTCACACGCGCACCTTTACTAACAGCATACTCCCACACTCACGTCCTATTGTCTTCTCAGCGGACTCGTCCAAGCATCTTACCCGAGTTCGTGATGCTTATCATGCAAAGTCGATCGTTATCTTTTAAACCTAGACGAAAAAACAAAACTACTCTGTCAGATACATTCTGTATCGGACTCTGTGGCACTAGCTGAATGACAAATTAGTAGTGTTAGTCTTAAGATCAGCAATCGTCAAACAATATTAGATCCTAATCAAGTTAATAACTTGCTTTTCACTCTTCCTATGGAAAACGGAATTTTCTTAGTAATTTGCCATAAAGACGTTCTTTTTCTGTTCACATTTATTTGTTTTTATTCGCTATGTGCTCGAATTGGTATTTTAGTTTATTAGTTTTTTCCGTTTTTTTCCATTTTTATAGTCGATAGTACACTGCCAAAGAGGATCATATTTATTTTCATTCTAAAAGTAAAGAAGAAAATTGTAAATTTTCTCATAACAATATTATCAGATAGAAGACGAAATATGTATAATACTTGATAATGCTAGTCAAACTGATAAGTATGTTCATAAACTGTACGTTTTCTAGAAAGTATTTGAACTAGTGCTGTTTCATATGGGAAAATACATCCAGTTTTCTATGATTTAGCCATCCCAATAAATGCCAGGTTTCTTCCTAGTCGTTCCATCTCATGTAACACAGCAAATTTTCCAGCTCTACATCATTTTATGGGACCGTTCGAGTTAATTGATGTCATCAGTCGGCTTTTTTTCATCCTATTACATCGCGTGTGCAGTCTTACAACAAATCATTCCTTTTCGCTCCGACGGTTATAGACAATACAGGCTCTTCAGATTAAAAAGGTAATTATCTCATTCGTCCCTAACATCTATGTGTCTATTAACAATTGTCCCCGACTGGAGAGTGCGTAGGCTTTCTCAGGCGGCCTGACACTGCGCGCGGTGCTAGGATGGCGTCCCCTGGGGTCCAGAAGCCAAAAGTTCTTGCTCTCGGGCTAGTCACCCGTCGGTAGGACGTAAAACATTTTCTGACTACAGAAAAGGAACGAACAGAGATAATTAATACAACTAAGATAACGCGCTTTGGATCATGGAATGTCAGATCGTGTTATCGTGCCACTAAACGGGAACTAATTGTTCGACGGTTACAAAGATACCAAATTGAGGTTGCAGCACTAGCTGAGACCAACATACCGGACTCAGGTATTTATGTACTGAATGGATACACGTTTATCTATTCTGGAGCACCAGCTCAAGAACACTCAAGAGCAGCTCATGGCACTGCTGTATGTCTGAGTCCGAAAGCAACTCGTGCATGGAGAAATTGTGGTTCCACTTGGGAAACGGTCAACTCGAGGATAGTAACTGTTCGAATCATATGTCGACCTATATCGATTACCGCCATAGCTGTATACGCACCGGTGCATCCTTNAAAGCTCTATTTCTCAGTCCGAGAAAGCAATTTTTTAAAACACCTACGTAGTTTTTTTCCTTGTCAAATAACGATTCAATTGATGTATAAATATCGAGAAAATGTTTTGAAATAAAAGACTACATAGGTTTGCAAGATGAAGGTATCGCTATACTAACGATTAAGCTTTCGGAAGACAACAACTACACCAAAAAATATTCAAAAATATCACCAAATTATATCCAAAGACTCAGTTTGAAACAATGAATCTAAATAACTCGGTTTAGAAAAAAATTAACATATCTAAAAGGACAAAATTTTCGCTTCTTTACGGAAGTGATCATGGATTGGCTATGTTCGGATTTTCCAGTATTTTTAGGTTTTCAGATGCAAAACGTAACCAAAACACAAAAAAATATACATATTCGGAATCAGCTCAACGAGGTCTATCGAATGATATGTTAAACAGAAACATTATTTTTTTTTGCTACACTGTTGCCCTTGGTGCACCTTAAAAAAACCTTGACAAATGGAAACTTTCAGAGATGGTAGTGCGCTCAATAATTGTTCAAAAAGCGAACCAAATATGTTTTTATAGGTTTTGCGATGTGCTCTTTCATCTGGACAGATAAAAAAAGCATTTTCACGCAAAAAAGGTTTTTGGTCGTAAAACCGGGTTTTCTAGAAACTGGGCACTGTAGGCCTATCCGCCCAAACCATTGTGATATTTGGGATCAGCATGGTCGATTACCTATAAATCACTAGGATTCGATCAAAAAGCGATTGAACAGTTGGTGACCTTCCCTCGTCAGTGTAAGAGAACGGTTTCATGATATTCAACAACATCTAGTATACAATGATTTTGTGATAGCCTTCAAATCATTCGTGTTTATGGTCTCATGTTAAACAAATAATAATCTTGGATTATAAGTTAACCAGTTATTTTTGTTTCATTTTGAAAACAATATAAAAGTATATAGACATTACAGACTCATTGACAATGTTTTCTTCTAAGATATGCTTCTTATCTTGATGAAAAAAAAATCCTTGAAATAATAATTATTTGGTTAAGATAAATGGTTTCTTAATACGTTTTTTTTCTTTCATGTGAATATGTGAACACGATCAATTTATCTCTGTCATGTTTTTAATAATAACATAAAGATAAATTTTTATCTACCTTCTGTTATTATTTTCTTTTCTGGTTTTTTGTTCAAAATAATGAGTTAACTAGAAGAATACAATCATACGGCATTAGAATGCGAACAGGTAAAGAACTTATCATTCCATATGTATCATACATTACATTGGGTATTGTTGCACTTATTATTATTTTAATGGTTTTATTTAAAATTGCTGCAAGAGATAATAGATTTCTATCGAATTCGGAATTGTATATTTATTCTCAACCAGATCTTAACCAACGTAAACATAATGCAAATAAAAAACAACGTAAAAATACTTTTCTTGCATCGAAATCCGCTAAATTAACAAACACTACGCCATCATCGAATTAAATAAATTTCTCATCATTTAATTCTTTTACTTAATTATCAAATTATATGATATATTATTAACAGTCACAATTGATCTTATATGTTGTATGTCGTTTAACATTTAATCTTAAAGATGTTATTGTCTGCTATTGTAAAAAAGAAAAAAAAACCTGCATGTAAATGGAATAATATCATTCAAATACAAGTGATTCATCTTAACTTCTGAAGATTTTTTTGTTAATAAATATTCAATTAAAAGAATCTCTTGTTCTAAGATGTTTCTATTAGGTCTTCGGATTTTTTCATTCCTCGTTGAATAAACTGGTAACATCTTTTTTGTTTCTCACATTGATTTCTCTACTAATGTCCGTTCTGGAATTAAAGATACTCGGTTAAAAATTGAATAAGTCGAGAACGCAAGCAGCTAGCGATCTGCGGTTTTGAGCAATCGAAAGAGGAGACATGGGGGCTTCTTTTTCTCCGATAATGTGTAAGATAAAAACCTTTTAAGACTAATTATTTCTGAAAAACATTCGAAAAAATGCATGAAAATGTCATGTCGTTCCGATGAAAATTTGAAAAAAAGGAAGAAAGTTTAGTTGAAAATCAACCCAATTTCTTATTATTTGAGTAAGCAAACACATGATTTCATTTGTTCAGTTTTAGAATGTGAGAACATAACCCTTCGCATTGCGTCTTGAACTATAGATCTGAAGTCCCTCTATCTAAATCATATGTCAAAATCAAAATTTCATCGGAACAACAAGACATTTGCATGTATTTTTTCGAATGTTTTTCAGAAATAATTAGTTTTATAAGGATTTTGTCTTATACATTATCGGAGAAAACGACGCCCCCATGTCTCCTCTTTCGATTGCTCAAAACCGCAGATCGCTAGCTGCCTGCGTTCTCGACTTGTTCAATTTTTAATCGAGTATCTTTAATTTCCGAATGGACATTAGTTTGAAATTTCTGCTGAAAAAGAAGGGAACATACAGTCATAGTAAATCAGTCAATTTTTTAAATTTTATTTGTTGCATAAATTAAACTTCTCTTAACCAGCTATGAAATAAAGACTAACCTCAGTTCTGTCTCAACACTACGCGTTGAAATGTATATAATATTACATGAAACTTTAATTGTTGAAGTTGTAAAATTTTTATAGAATATTAAAAACTTTATTCACTTGTAGACATGAAGACTCATATCTAACTGTCGGGTACCATTTGTCTCCCTCTTTTGGCCTACGAATAAGTACTACTAAGACCATGATAAATCTAACAATAGTTTGAACCTTCAGATTTATTTTACTATGATAAATTTGAAATGTTTTCTCTCAAAATATTTTATGAATCTCGACATGTTATTATTTTAATCGAAATTATTGTAGTAGCAAAATAAAACACATAGTCTCTTTGCTCAGTAACTATAGATATAGTAATGAAAATATATGATGATTAGATTTCGTTGATAAGCAAAGTCACGAATTCGAACGTATTCAGACTTCATCTACTTCTATTGTAATATACGCCAAACCAAAATAGTACCTTAACGACATCTATTCTATGGCAAAAAATTCATGAACGATTTCAGTATTTATTCGAACGTTTAATAAATATTCCAAAGTCTAAAATTATTTTCAAAAAAATTCATTCTTAATCTTTTTAATTATATATAAATTGCTTGTGAACCAAACGATAAATCACAACCTCCGTGATGTTGTTGATCAATTTAGGGCCGACAAGCAGTGACGTCGTGATTTGGCGGTGCCCCCTATTTTTGTAGATTCAGTGGCTCCACTTCCTTAACTATTTGATTTTATTTGAAATCAAAAATAAACAAATAGACAACAATTATAATAATGACAAGTGAAATACGTCGTTCAACACGATCCCGATCAAATTTAAATGTTAAATTTGTCGATGATCCTGATTATGATGAACATACATTTGAAGACGATCAGGGCGACGACGACAATATTGACGAACTGCCGGTGGCGCGTGTTAAGCAAGAGCACCAGCGACACGCTAGTCAAAACAATAATACCAATAGCAGCATTATAAAAAGACGTCGTGGACGACCAGCTAAACGTGAATTATTACATGATAATGATGAAGATTGGCATGTTGAAAATGAAAGAGACTTTTCAACAGTTACATTGAGTCCTCAAGTAAATTCATCTGTTTATGAATTTAGGTAAAGAATATTTTTTCTTATTTTATTTTTTTTTTGTATATAATTCGTACTGATCTTTTCTTGTGATCGTCTAGTGAAAATTCAAATCGAAAAAATATTGGTTCCATTGGAAATAATATTACACGTGACTCAATAAAAGCTCCAAGCAAAGTTCGTCGTGATGAAAAACATTTATGTCCTTACTGGTAAAATAAATTCTTTATATTCTATATATAAATAAATATTTATTATACATTAAGTAATTATTGTACGGGTAAAAAATACCTTCTTCAACGTCATCTTAAATCTCATTCAACTGAAAGACCACATAAATGTAATTTAGAAAATAAATAATATCAAATTTTCAATCAATTTCTTTAGGTACATACTGTTCAAATACATTTAAAACAACAGCACAATTACAAAATCATGTTAATACACATCTTGGTATTAAACCATTTCAAGTAAAAAAGAAAAGTTATTATTATTATTATTTTTTACTTTGTTAATTAATAACTTTAGTGCAAATTTTGTGAATACAAATTTACAACAAGTGGAGAGTTAATTCGTCATGTTCGTTATAAGTAAATAAAGAGCATTTTAATATTATTAATATATATATATACAATAGCACTTAAAATTGGTTACACACCTAAGCGACTACCTTTGCTTTTCTAATATCTCTAAATGGTTTCAACATATAGAGTTACAATTTTCGCCAACATATAGCCCTGTTGTCATTGTTTATTTAACTTACAGTGAAAAAATAATTATCAAAATCTCGGGCACATGGTTCTCCGCTTTGAACAACGCAGAAAATTTACTCTTTTTCTTATTGAGAGAGCACAATCTGAACTGAAAAAAAAACATACGCATGAAGTTTTCAGAGATTAATTTTGAATGACAAAATATTTAATATGAAACATCGTTAAAAGAGTTCTTGCAGCATACTGTTTTTCTAATATTTTTTCTAGAATCTGAAGGAAAACTTTATCGACTATCATACTTTAGAAAATTTCTCAGAAATTCATTAACAGTAAATAAAGAATATTATTCATTTTTGGTTTTTTTTAACAAAGTACCACTTTTACATGAGATAGATAAGACATTGAGCAAAATTCATTATTTAAGAGTTTAACCCTCTTCGCAATGGTTAAAATTAATTTAAATTTGTAGAGAATTGCATATTGTTTCAGAAAAATGAAGACAAATTTGTTCAGCATCTGAAAAGTATTACGCGTACGTCAGATAACTTAAGTTTTTTGAAATCAATGAAAAAGTTGTCAAACACTTCGATTATAAAGTAGATCAAAATATAAGTTATCATACTCTAGTTCAAACATAATCTATTATAGGGAAACAAATAAGTTTGATGAGAGAGATATATTAAAAAAAAAACAAAAGTCGCAAGAACGTTTTTCTATGTTTTTTGAAGCTCACACTTTACTATTTCAATATGAGAAAAACTGAATTCTCTAAGATGTTTTTGAGTGCATAACCATAGATTGTGACTTCATCGTAGACTACACAAAATATCAGCTCTCAATGTCAGACTAGAAATATTAAAGATGATATACTTTGTTTTCATTCCAATTTACTCAGCCATTTTTGTGCATGATATACGATCTATTTTAAGAAATATCGAAATACATCAGATTGAGTATTTCTAGTCTGGCATAGTAAATATATGACATTGCGAGCTGATATTTTAAGCAGATAAACTATAAAAACAAAGCTATATTTTCACGAAAATCATAACTCTATATATTGAAATTACCTTGATATATTAAAAAAATAAGGAGTTCCACTAAATGTATAATGGATTTAAGCATCATTCTATATATATTTATATTTTTCTTTTAAAGACATACCATGGAAAAACCACATAAATGTGAAGAATGTGGTTATGCAACAGTTGAATTAAGTAAACTTCGTCGTCATATACGAACACATACAGGCGTAGGGGTTTTGATTAATTCTATTCATTTATATTTTATTAAATTTAATATTAGGAAAAACCATATTCATGTCCACATTGTTCGTATTGTAGTCCGGATACATTTAAACTAAAACGTCATCTACGTGTTCATACAGGTATAAAATAAAAGAATAACCTTTTGATTTTTAATTCATAGTAATCTGTTTTTTTTTCGTGCTTTTATTTTAGGTGAACGCCCGTATCAATGCACAGTAAGATGACCCTGTTTTGTTTGTTTGATTTAAATCTAATTATAATTTTGTAATTGATAGGTTTGTAAATTTCGATTTACTCAAAGTAATAGTTTAAAGGCACATATGTTAACACATCAAACAAATGCACAAAAGTTTCATTGTACATATTGTCCAACAGTATTAACACGTAAAGCTGATCTTAAACAACATATGATTAAAAAACATGCTAATGGTGAAGATTTTGTAACATGTCTTAAATGTGATCTAGAATTTGCTGATTCGTATGTATTCGCTCATTCATATTTTATTTAAAAACAAACAAACAATAATTTTTCTCTTGTTGTTATATTATTGTTTTAGACATGAATTAAATCAACATAAAAGAATTCACCATGAAAATAATAATAATTTTAATGTACCACGTGTTCAACTTACATGTTCATTATGTGCATATAAAACATTTTCACAAAATATGCTTGATAATCATATGAATTCACAGCATAGAGGTCAGTAAAGTTATTCAATTCTAAGCATAAGTAGTATTTCGAAAATATTAATATTTGAAAAAGTAATATGAAAAGAAAAGAATAGAAATGCTCAATCAATATATTCTATGCTTTTCATCTTGATGAAACTAACAAATGATTAAAATCATTTTCCTAGTCGTGAATTTT